CGCTCTTCGGAAGCTACACATTCTGGATGTGCGTATTCTGCAACTGATGAAGCTGAATATTGTCGAAAGGAGCATCTTATCATCCGGCAGGTTTCGTCGATATGTTACACACTAACCGTAAGTATTGCTCAAAACTTAAGCTGATCTTCGGCAATATCAGAAGATTATCACGCTTCTCGTGAAAGTAAGAAATTTTAAAAATGACAGGTGAATATACACATATTCTCCCGAAAAGAGAAATTCATTATTTTATACATATATATAATAATGCACAAGATTAATATTTCATTAGAAATTACAAAGAAAAAATGTTTTTTAAACTATTTTATATATATTATGTACATTAAATAGAGAGAGAGAGAGAGAGAGAGAGAGAGAGAGAGAGAGAGTTACTTTACTTAATTAAGGATACCCAGATGCAACCTTTTTTATTTTCTCGATTAATACGAGGTATTCAAAAATATAGATGTTTGTTAATAAAAAATAAAAATCAATGCCAACAATGTAAGTGGACGAGGAAGTAATTGTTGACAAATCTTTGACACACATCAATATCATACCGGAAATTGATAATATCAAATCCTGATACAATAAAAACTTGAATATCCGAGTGACATTCTTCGCGAAGCACCGTTTTAGAATGAACCGGATATCCCCATCAATAGCCACAATATACGGCACCATAGTATACGCCCACAGGGATAAAAATATTAAAAAAAAAACTGTATATGTGTGTACGCGTGTAAAGCTACTTTATATTTCATATTAATCGCGGAGAAAAGCAAATACACACGGTCCAATTACACGTCCATCCCCGTAGAAACTTCATCGGACGATCGTGCTATTCTAACTTGGCGAGACGTGGCCTGCATACGCGGAAACTATCGATCCGTGATAGCCGCCGCCGATCGAGTTAACGAACGTCGTAATTCGCGTTTATTTTCATAGCCAACTAAACAAAAAGTTACAGAGAGCGGGCGGTAACAACTCGACGAGTGCCACGCTCGTTAACGTAACAAATTTAGCGGGCAATACCGGGCCAGGGCCGGGGATTCGATTCGGCGTAAAATAAGCGTCCGGAATTGGGCTGATGTAATTGATAGTCGAAACTTATATCCTCGGCTGGGTCCGCGTAATGGGCGAGGATTACCGGGCGCTCTCTTTCGCCTTCGCCTTAATTTGCCCGGCATGTGCAATTTCACACGATAAAGTCCCGCACTTATCGCGTACCCGGGGATGACTCGCTCGGAGATCTATCTATCTTTCGCGGGAGAGGCGATCGCCCGTAAAACCCCTCGGCAACCGAATTTTATGGAATGTCGAAAATCTCAAACGATGTTATCGCGATCGAAGTAACAGATAGATGTCACATAAATTTGAAAAACATCGTAAAAAAATTTTCTAAAATTTCGGACTCGATTTGGTCTGAATTTTCAGATCTGGGTGTCTGAAAGAAATTTCAGACAGTCTGTCTTAATCATCAGAGTCGTTTTTCTGAAAGTTCATGGAGTTGATTATGTATCTTTAAACGACGTGAAAATTACGAAAGTGAGGAAATTCACTAGAGTATCTACGATTTCATTTGTCGAAATCTGTTCACTTTTGTAATTTTCACTTCGTTTTAAGATACACAATCGACTCCCAGAAGAGTGTGTCTGAAAATTCAGACAGAGTGTCTGCAAAAAGTTTGCAGACACTTTGAAATTTCAGTTAATTTTTTTTTACAATGAGTGTCTCTGCGTGTCTTTGGAATTTAAAATTCAATTAAATTTTGCGATGCAAAGTTTTTCGCGTGTACCCTGTATAATTTTAATTTTGAATTTTATGTTTGTACATTTATATATTTATATAACGTAGACTAAAGTTAAACTATAAAGTTTAATCTCTCGATATGAGGCAAGAATCAAACAGACACGTTAACAATATTAAACGTGTAGTGAGAATGAATTTAAAAATGTAGGAATCTGTGACATTTATGCCACACCGGAAACTAGTTAGAACTAGTACAAAACTCGAAATCGATTGACTATATTTGGTGTTCATTCGGACCAATGAATCAGAAAGTATAGGATAAGATTATATACATATCATGTCCGCCACACAATGTATCGATTTAAAAAGATTTAAAGGACCGAATGTTATGTCGTTCTCGAAGTAAACAGCTTGTATGTTTTTTATGCGCTTTCTTGGCCAGGCTTTATCAGGATGGTACTTGAAAATGATTAGACTGCGGACTACTTAAGGATGCTAAAATCGTGTTCCTTAGTTCTTTATTATCCAGGGCGTATCTCAGTTCTTCGTGAAAGAGATGCATGCTTAGTGATCGGCATGAATCAAACGGATTCCGCGAAAAAGTACAGTCGAAATAAAAACTAAAGACCTTCTAGATTTCAGTCAAGTTACTTTTCTATCCAATTATTACTGCTTGATGCCAACATAAATTTACTATTAAAAATTATTTACTAGGAAAATATATGTTTCAATTTTTATAAATTATATCTTTTCTTTTATTTTATAAATTATATCTTTAATATAGGATATGTCTCTCTCTTTAAACATTATTGTTATTAAAGAAAAAAGACTTATTACATTTTGAAAAATTCAACTAAAGCGAATTAATGCAGAGTCGGCTGATAAAATCTGATTGTATTATGAGTTTATTATAATTTTCCTAGAATTGTACAACGTCGATCGCTCTCCGAATTTGAGTATTTCCATTAGGTTTTCCCCACATTAAATTTTCCGTCTATTATCTGAATCTCGTTCCTCTTTCAAAGTATCGTATATAGCGATTCAACGTCAGCGTAAATCTCTCGAACGCGAGCTTAATCGATGGAATCATTTATAAATATAATTCACAATCGCGCCAAACTCGATCGTAATGCCCTGGAAATTGCGCGAATTCGAACATTGTTTGTACGATTATTCGATCATGTAGTCCTTAAGGATCCATTCGTCTTCTATTTTAAGCCACCGGCTTCGTGTTCGCGCGCCTACGTGTGTACGCAACACGGGGACCGAGTCCGTGAGCTACGACGGGGCACGCTGTTTTTAGCTCATGCGCAAACAACATTGAGCAATGGGTGAGCCTCCGATGGGGATATCCGCCGGACAATCGAAGGTTCAGAGTGCATAATTACACGCGGTGACAGCGGCCCCTTAAGTCAAGCCACGGGATCGCGCGCGCTCCGCGCGATCCCTGCCCACACAGGACGACGAAATGAATACGCGAATATACGCGTGCAACTTTGTTTGGACGTTGTAACCAGGCGCGTTTCTTGTTTCAACCGGGTTGCAATGGGTTGCCGGGTTTATACCTGCTGCCCTTTCTGCCCGACTTCTTTCTACGAACGGAAACGGGGATGGAGGAAGGGTGGAGTAGGGGTGGAGGAGGGGGGAGGGAGGAATATATCTTCTGTGCGAGCGGGGTTTATTGTCAACAGACCTCGGACAATGGCCGAATTGAAGGACAGAAAACTACGCGGAGCGAAGGGTTCCGCGGATCGAGCTATTCGGCTCGACAACATTGCGTATCGACGGATAATTAAGAGCGCGCAAAAAGAGCCCAGGAATCTGTTGTGACAGAAAATGTATTTAATCGACGACGGTATTTTTACCGGGCGACCAGCCCTCCCACCCTAGTATAATCCGGAGTACGACGTCGATAAAACATGTCAAAGGTATGTAAATATGAATTTTCAGAAAAAGCTGTTTGAAATTTCGCTTTACGGCCTTTTGCGTCTCTTTCGGAGAAACGGGACTCTTTCTCTCTCTCAGAAAAAAAAAGAAATGAGAATATATTGGAAACTATTAAAACATTACACGCTTCTAAAAATATCCAAATTTTTTTGTAGAAATTCCTTGAGATTTAAATTTATTACGCAAAAAAAAAATATGAGTTGAATTATCAACATTGAATATATTGTAAGAATATTTTGTGTCCAACATTTTTATAATCATTGATATAATAACTTTAAAAAGGATCTTGCATATATCATATCTATCTTTTATTCTTTTCTCTCTACAATGTGATTTTAAACATAAAAGGATAACGCGAGATGAATATCTTTGCTGTAAAAATGATATTCGGGATTTTACAGGGTTGCGAAAGAGAGCTAAGGTTGTATTCAATCGTCTCAAATGTTTCGGCAACGAAAAATTCGCTCTCGGTTTTTAATCAATTTCTTCCGCAATAAAAAAAAATATTTATGAGTTGAATTATCAGCATTGAATATATTGTAAGAATATTTCGCATCCAACATTTTCACGGTTATCGATATAATAATTTCAAAGAGAATCTTGCATATGTTACATATATCTTTTATTCTTTTCTCTCTACAATGTGATCTTAAACGTGAAAGGATAACGTGAGATGAATATCTTTGCTGTAAAGAGGATATTTGGGATTTTACTGGGTTGCGAAAGAGAGCCAAGGTGTATTCAATCGTCTCAAATATTTCGGCGACGAAGAATCCGCTCTCGGTTGCGAGATGCTACAATGTTCCCGAATCGTATTCAGGAATGCTCACGGGGGCTTTCGGAGGACGCTGTACCATTCTCGATAGGCACGCAGACCGAAAACAACAGGCCGAGTTATTTCGATCGGGCCGTTCGTTGGGAATCTTCGGATTCTACAAGTCGCAGGATAAAGCGATACGAAAAAGTACCGGAAGGGTTGCCGCCGCAAAATCGAGCCGAGGAAACGATCGGAATGAGAGAAAAGGAGAGAGAGAGAGAGAAAGAGAGAAAGAGAGGAGAAACCGGGGGTTGTGAGAAAGGGGAGAGGAAGAGC